CGGAATTGCTGCGAGCACTCTCAAGCCCAGATGTCCATGTGTGGCTGAATTTCTTGCTCTGACTGGAGCTCTCTTTCACAGACTCCTTAGTCTCCCACAAAGACTCCATGTATGAGTATGAGCAAGCATTCATCTTCAGATGTCTCATCATCATTTGCTCTTGTAACAGTTTTTCTCCTATTTGTGACATCCTCCTGGTGCCACCTTTGACAACTGAGGCCTTCTCAGGTTTGGTACAAAACCAATGAATGGATCTTCTCCCCAAGGGCACTGAGGGAGGAGAGGAAAAATTGGAAGTCAAGATAAAAGCCACAGGATATATATTTATTTGCTATTTATAATTATCTGAGAAGAATGAACAGAAAAGTTCTGTCCTGCTTCCTCCTTAAAATCAACTGCCAAGAATTAGGACACTCATGATGGCAGATTACTTCAGAGTAACATGTTTCTGTCCTTTTCTGTTACTCAACTTTGAAACAAAGAACAGCTCAGAGGATACAGATGTCAATTGAAAACCTTTTGCTCAAAGGCTGAGGAACAATTGGTAGGTGAATAAAACTGGCACCCATTTGCTAAAAGGAGCTTTAAGACTATTGAATACTTAATCTGTGTGCTTCCTATCCCATCTTCACAAATAGGGCATATTTGAGTTTTTCTAAATTTTAACAGATCGTTCCAATCTTTTGTCTTTAGTCAGGGGGAAAATAACTTCTATGCCCCTTCATTCTCTTATGAAGACTGAAACCTTTACTTCATGAAACATTTGATAGTCTTCTTTCCATTACATTAACACTGGCAGGAGAACTGAGACAGGAAGATAAGAAAAGAAAGTATTCAGGAAAAAAGTAACCTTATTCCTCTCAGCAAATATCCCCCGACTAAGCAACCAGATGTCCACAACATTTTTTGTGGGTACTTTTGGGGAAAACTTATAAAGGACTCTGTGCAAATTGTGTACCTGTGCATTCAATATCTTGTTTACTTACTGGAAAAACTTCCATTTGTTTATAAGATATCTAAATGGCAGATGTTAAAGAAGGAAAGAAATGATGATGGTTAAATTTCTTGAGACAGGAAGGGTCTAGTAAAGGTACCCCTTCTCCTGACTTTCCATTTCCTTAGGGTCATTACAGATCTTTAAAAAAGGCTGAGGATAGCCTGGAAAGTCTGATTTTCCCTGACGTGATCCAGCAAAAAGAGCAACAAATTTATTTCAAGGATACCACTGGTATTCAAAGAAATGGTTGGTTCTTTGCTGCCTATACAGGCTGAGGAGGTACAGGGACACCTCCTATATATTTCGTTTGTTTGTGGATTTTGGGGGGTTTGTTTTTACATTTATGTATGTATGTATTAAATTGTATTGGGGTGACATTAGTCAACAGGAACATATAGGTTTCATGTGTCAATTACTAAGTTACAAAATCTGTATATAGGACCATGTGCCCACCACCCAAAGTCAAATCTCCTGTCACCTTATATTAGGCCCCTTTTTTTCCCTTCCCCCCCAACCCCCCCCCCCCCCCCCCCCGCTCCCGCTTCTGGCAACCTCCTATATTTTTAGCAGCAGAAGCTGTAATGACCCTTCCTTCAGGGATATGACCATAAGCCAGCAGAAACCTGAAAGTTTCGCTGGGTGCAGTGGTAGACATCACTGCCCCATCCCCCACCACTGATTCCCTACACCTTCCGCGTCGACCACTAGGGTGACAATAAGCCCTGTGCACGTGGGCAGCCTCCGAGTGTGCTCAGCAGCACCCCGGGGTGATATTTGCACATAGAGTACAAAGAGATCGCTTCCGGAGGTTAGATGTGGAAATAGGAGCCTGAATACCGGCCTCACAGAGAAAAGGTCCCGCCTGAACTCAGGCTGACCGCCGGTTGGCAAAGATGCCACCGCGAACTGGGGACGGCTACATCCCCCATCCCCCACCTCCCCACTCCGCACCCCCCACTCCCTCACCACCATGCAGGCTGCAACTGGCACGTGCGTCCCTTATCTCTCGAGCTGTCTAGACCAAATACAAAGGGAAAATCGGGCTTCTCGATTACCTTCACGCGGCTCTGGCCTCCGCGGACGCCACTTCCCTCTTCCTCACTAGACTCAGAAGTCGCCACGCCTCCGGGCTACTCTGGGAAGAAAGCTCTCAGCGCCTGCGCCACTGCAGAGGCCGGGTCGGGAGCGTGTGACGCCTGGCGAGAGGAGCGCCAAGACTCAGAAGCGCAGGGAACTTGGAAGATCAGTCTCCCATCCGATGCCTCTATCTCCCGGAGACTGTACCCCGACTCGCCATTTTAAGGTCGCGGTATGTGGACCGGGCCCCAACCGGAAAAGGAAGACTCGTTTCCGGTGGCTTTGTGACAACCACGCCCAGCCATCTATCTTCCTCCACCTGTGCAATCTCAACCCAGCCTGCTAGGAACAATCCCTGGGATCCTTTCCAACCTCCAACCTTGAGGGATTGCCTTTCTGTTCCCGTTCAGCCCCTGATGCAAAAACAAGTTAATGTCATGGAGTCTCCAGACCAGCTGACAAAGGGTGCCACAATATCTCTCTCCCTCTCTCTCTCTCTCTCTCTCTCTCTCTCTCCCCCCACCCAAGAATATTTTTTCCATTTTTAATGCATTTTATTTTATTTTAAATTTTTATTGTTGAAAGTATTACATATGTCTTTTTTCCCCCCATTGACCCCTTTTAGCCTGCAACGCCCCCCCCCCACCACCCTATTGTCTATGTCCATAGGTTATGTATATATGCATACAAGTTCTTTGGTTGATCTCTTCCCACCCCACACCCCTGCCTTTCCTCTGAGATTCTGCACTCTGTTCCATGCTTCCATGTCTCTGGATCTGTTTTGTTCATCAGTTTATTTTGTTCATTAGATTCCACATATGAGTGAGATCATATGGTATTTGTCTTTCTCTTCCTGGCTTATTTCACTTAACATAATACTCTCCAGGTCCCTCCATGCTGTCTCAAAGGGTGAGAGTTCCTTTTTTACTGCTGCATAGTATTCCATGGTACAAATGTACCACAGCTTTTTAATCCACTCATCTACTGATGGGCACTTTGGGCTGTTTTCAGATCTTAGCTGTTGGAACTTGTGTTGCTAATGAACATAGGGGTGCATACCATTCTTTCTGATTGGTGTTTTGGGTTTCTTAAAATATATTCCTAG